AAAGAGGGACTATAACGGGGTTTGGGGAAATGTTATGCAGAGTCGCAAAATATTTTAGAAACCAATTAAGTTACTGTCATATGTGAAAAGTCACACCCACATCACAGAACCATAGGCTGTTAGGAGAACATGGCCAGACCTCTAGTACAAACTCTTAATTCCCAGGTGAGGGCTCTGAACTCCTCCCCCAGAACCAAAGGGGTAATTCTTAGTGTACTATCCTCAGACTCAAGGTCTTTCCAGGATGGTACTAAACCTTCAAAAGATCTGAATACAGCAATGGCCCTGTTCCCTTCTGTGGCTCAAAGTGCTTATTTCTGGTCCTACCTGATATTCACAAAAAAGTCTAAACTCGGTGAGATGCTCACTTACTAACAGGTTTACAAGTTGTGTGTAAAAAGACTCCAGGGAGAGACTTCCTGCTAATTCTATTCCCATTTCCCTCAGACTTGGCAGGTCTTCCCACATACATGCTGCTTGTGGCCTGGCTACCAGCTCAGCCTCCCAAATCCTGTCCAGGCTCAAATCTGAATTTTAAGTTACTGATTTAAGTGTGTTAACTACCTATTAGGTGCCATCTACTGTGATCATCTCAAAGAAATACCTCCAAAAATGACTCTCAGCTCTCAAAGAGGAGAAACTAATGTAGGCAACTTATATTTCTAGAGCACCCACTACGAGCCAGGAACCAGCATAAACATTTTACATGTGTCCTTTACAACCACTTCTAAGGAGAACATGCTTACAATCTAACCAAGAGGGGCAGACACATCTACAGTCGAACCCAGAGCTAAAGGTCAGAGCGCAAGAAACATCACAGAGGGAACCAGGCTCACATTAGGGGCCATCCACACTGTCTGGGACCAGGCAGGACACCTTGTGGGGGGTGGAGTCTCTCCCAAGTTCCTTTGGGGAGGGCAGGAAAGATGGAGACCGAGTGGAAGTGGGAAGGCATCCCAGAAAAGGGCAGAGGGGATGTGTCGTAAAATCAATAAATATTGAGTGATTGCTTTCTGGTCGTGAATCCCTGGATGATTTATTATGCTGCTTCTAGAGCTGACTCATTGGAAAAGACCCTGATGCTGGGAAAGATTGAAGGCAGGAGGAGAAGGGGGCGACAGAGGATGAGATGGTTGGATGGCATCACTGACTCAATGGACATGAGTTTGAGCAAGCTCCGGGAGTTGGTGATGGACAGGGAAGCCTGGCGTGCTACAGTCCATAGGGTCGCAAAGAGTTGGATACAAGTAAGTGATTGAACAAAAACAAACAAAAAGTTTTTCAGTATTATCTAAATGGTCTATAATAATTGTATATGAATATTACAATAAAAACTTCTATAACCATTAAAAAAAAAAGGTAGAGGAGTGGGAATATTTAGATTGTGTTTGGGGGGACAGTGGGAGGGACAGTGAGTGACCCAACTGATGCAGTGGGAGACGGTCCAAGGGGAGGTGATGGTGATTACCGATGAGAACACAGGTGGAGGCTTGACTCTGAGCCTCCAGCAATGCAGGGGTGAGACTGAAGGAGCCCCCTTGGTTCCTGCCCTTAGATGCATCCCAGTTCAGTTCAGTTCAGTTGCTCAGTCATGTCCGACTCTTCCAGACCCCATGGACCGCAGCATGCCAGGCCTCCCTGTCCATCACCAACACACGGTGTTGACTCAAACTCATATCCATTGAGTAGGTGACGCCATCCAACCATCCCTTCCTCTGTCATCCCCTTCTCTCCCACCTTCAATCCCTCCCAGCATTAGGGTCTTTTCCAATGAGTCAGTTCTTCACATCAGGTGGCCAAATTATTGGAGTTTCAGTTTCAACATCAGTCCTTCCAATGAACACCCCAGACTGATCTCCTTTAGGATGGACTGACAACATGTGGTCTACTGGAGAAGGGAGATGCATCCCAACTCCACCTCAAACCCCAGCTTCTGTCTCCACTGAAACTTTCGCCCACCCTGGCTCCCCAACTCTTACTGAAGACACAGCAGCTTTGATTTGGGGCTGGGCAAACCACTCAGTCAGCCGTTCAACCAGAAGGGGCCGTGCCCCTTGGAAAAAGCCTCAACCCTCATAATTCGGCTTATTCCTGTTTCTGTAGTCCACCTTGAGCTGTCACTGCGGTGACTGGAGAGATGGCGTGAAAATGGCTGGCTGCCTCCCAAACCTCCTCCCGGTCATGCACAAGCCATGCTCCCAAATTCCTAGCTGGAGACGGTCGCCAGCTCCTCGCAGCCATCACCAGGGATCCATCTGTGCCAGGAAGGGCAGAGGTTGACCCGTGTTGTGCACACAGCTCTCCCTGACCACCCAGAAACCGGGACAAAGACAGCGGTTCACGACGACAGAGGGCCACCCGGATGAGCCCTCCTGACCCACCTCGCTGAAGGTCTGGTGATCAGAGACAGCACATCCTCTACAGATGCAAATGCCTGTGACGGTTCCACAGCCCAAGGACATGGAAGACAAAGCACCAAGGGAGTAAATACGAGGAAACCCAGGCTTGGGCAGATTCAAGTGGCCCCGGGGGCTCCCGAATATTAGGGTGAGAACTGGTGTTTGAACCCAAGTGCCATCCTCTTCTCCTGGACACAGGGCAGATGCTGGGGCTGAGACCAGACATCTGGAAGTGGTCCCTGCTCCTTCCAAATGAAAGTGAAAGTATTAGTCACTCAGTTGTGTCTGACTCTTTGTGACCCCATGGAGGTCACTGCAGTCCGTCAGGCAAGAATACAGGAATACAGGAGATACAGGCATATAGGAATACAAGGAGATACAAGAATACAGGAATACAGGCAAGAATACAGGAGTGGGTTGCCGTTTCCTTCTCCAGGGGATTTTCCTGACCCAGGGATCGAACCCAGGTCTCTTGTATTGCAGGCAGATCCTTTAATGTTTAAGACACCAGGGACACCCACCCCTTCCACATATAACCAAGTTATTTAAAACTCTTGGAAATCCAGGGTTCCCCGTGGTGACTGATGGACATAACAGTCCTTCTGGCCTCAGAACTGCTATGGACTGAGGGCAGGATTCCTCAACCCTGGCACTACTGGCATTTGAGGACGGACAGCTCTTTGATGGGGGGCTGTCCTATGTATTGTGGACATCAGAAAGCCATGGCCTAGGAACCACTGGGACCAGGAGTACCACCAAACCTCCATGCAGGCGCGTCAGTTAAAAACACAAACAAATGTTTCCAAAAATCATTAAGCCAGAGGACCACACCTACCTGGCTTCATCTTTGTTCTCTGGCATTCCCATCCCATTCCTGCCATGGAGATGATCCCTCCATTTCTCTTGGACCTCAAGCTCCAAGGGTCTTAAAATCTTGGCTTGCAATCTTGGCATGTTTACGTGGACAACCTCATAAAAACACCAGGCTTTTTTTCCTGACTATTGGGTCCACTGATATGAAAAATTGCTAAAGCATTTCTTAGGCTGCTCGTTTTTAGGGTCCTAACTTTGTTTTCTGGCAAATGTAGTAGTTTTTAAATATTATCATGGGGACTTCCCTGGTGGTCCTGTGGTTAAGACTTCATCCTCCAATGCAGGGGGTACGAGTTCAATCCCTGGATGGAGAGATAGGATCCCATGTGCTTCACAGTCATAAAAACATTAAACAGAAGCAATACTACAATAAATTCAATGAAGACTTTAAAAAATAAATAAATCATAAAAGTGGCTGGGGAAAAAACTCAAGATAGATTCTGATCACCAAAAGTTGTGATGTATTGAAGAAACAAACCAGTTCAAGCAGAAAGGTATTTTGTCATAACTTAAGCTCAACAAGAGGGCTCCTCTGGTGGCTCAGAGGATAAAGAGTTGGCCTGCAGTGTGGGAGAACCATGTTCGTTCCCTCACGTGGGAAGATCCCCTGGAGGAGGAAATGGCAACCCACTCCAGTATTCTTGCTTGGAGAAGTCCATGAACAGAGGAGCCTAGTGGGCTACAGTCTATGGGGTCACAAAGAGTTGGACACGACTAAGTGACTAACGTGACATGACGTGAAGCTCAACAAGGAAGCTGCTTACAGCAAAGGACTTGACAAACGGACTACACACATACTATATAACTATGTGTGAAGATAAAGCAATACTATGGGAGAAATATACAGTCTTTTCTCTCAGAAAGGTAATATTTTGCATCCTTGCATCCTTGGATCCATCTGGACACGTTTCAAAAATCACTGAGCTGACTCAAAATTGTCTAAAACTTCTGAAGTGTACTCTTTTCTTGTAATGTGGTGGGAGTGTTTTTAACCAATGGGATGGTCTGATCTAATAGTCCCAGCACAGGTGGATTGGTGTCTGCCAACTGCTGCTGTCAGGATATGTGAGAGAGGTTTATAAATAAATGTTCAAGAGACCCCATATACTGTAACCAAGAAGGTTACTATTCTCAGGACAGAGAATAGAGTGTGGTCATCAAAAGCACTGTCCTGGGTGGACTTGAGCAGGGTGCTCAATTGTTCTGTGCTGAAGTCTTCGGCTCTGCAAAGATGGTACCATAAGATGGGAAGAGAGTTATTGTGAGGGATCGGTGAGCTAAAGCATTTTGAGCACATCAGACCAGTGCCTGGCATATAAGGAGAATATGATAAATGCAACTGTCACTTTAATTACAGAACACTATTCCACAAGGTTATAAAAGATGTCCAAGAGTCATGCAGTCAAATGTCTAGAAACACTACTTTAAACAAAGTTAAGTAGGTTTTTTCTTAACTCACTGCAGTATTAATACTTCTCAACTAGTGCTTTTAAAACATGAATATCAATATGGCAACCCAGCCTGGGCCATGTACACCAGGGCCCTTTCTGTATAAGGTGATTCAACAAAATTTTAAGTGGACAATACGTTATTGATGACAGTGGATAGGATGCTGGGTGGAAGATCTCTAGAACTTATTCATCTTGCATAATAGAAGCTTTACGCCCTTTGATCAGTAATTTCCCATTTTCCCCTCCCACCACCCATGCTGAATTTTACAGGACTCACCTGAGATCCCTTTTCAGGAAAGCACTGGCAAAGAGAGCAATCTCTTCCTCCACAGAGACCGATAAACTTCTTTCCACCCTAGAAAGTGAAGAGTTGATTTAGTCGACCAGTATTCATCACCTAGCTGGGTACACGATATATACATTATAGCAAGCACTATTGGTTTCTCTAATTCATGAGAAGTCCATAGTATAGTTTTATCTCTGAATCTCTGAAAAGACTAATACTGATATATAGAAAGGCAAAGAACTTACACTGTGGCTTGATAATCAACAGGTTGACGAACTGGAAGTTTGGGGTTGATATATATATGCTATTGACACTATGTATAAAATAACTAGTGAGAACCTACTTTATAGCTCAGGAAACTCTATTCAGTACTCTGTGGTGACCTAAATGGGAAGGAAATCCAAAAACAAAGGGATACATATATATATATAACTGATTTTTCTGTACAGCAGAAACTAACAAAACATTGCAAAGCAACTATACTAAAAAAATTAATTAAAAAAATTTTTTTAACTGTTGATGATTATGTGAGCAGGATAAAAGTTTACATGAGCTAGGGTTTTTTTTTTTAAAAAAAAACAACCTCCTTTGAAGTCATTTATGTTTAACCAGAATCTTCTACGATTTGTCTCTCTTGTTAAGAGTTTGTTTACCAAGTTGTGAACAATTTTAGAATGTTAACTATGCAGCTGGGAAAACCGCACATATACCACAGTGTCTAACTTAAATTATAAGAGTGACTTTTCTTCCAAGACTCTCTTCCTTTACCTCCAAGATCAGCTAGGGCATGTGTCCCCCAGGGAGGCCCCCGTGGATCAGCACTGCCATCACAGTCTTGCACTTGAATTAAAACTCTTCCTCCTACGGCTGGCTGACACCCCAAGACGGCTCCTCTGACGTGTCTCTCAAACCGAAAGCTTCTGAACTTGAGTAATTTGGGCCCTTTCCCCACTTCTAACTAGCTCTTCTACCACACTCTTTAAAATTACAACATGATCACATATTTTCTTAACTTTAACCTATCTCACACACACACACACACACACACACCCATGGGAAGAATCGGCCCCATCTTCTCACAAACCCTCACTCTGTACGTGGCGAATCGTCAATCATTTCAATACAAAAGTACAGTCATAGAGGAATGGTGTCCATAAGAAGACCCTTATCGACAGCCAGAACGGCATATGTGCAGTGAAAACACACCCAGCATAGATTCATTCGCGGTGGTCAGGGCTGCATGTTGAGAGGGAAAAGGTGATACAGCAGCCCTAGGTGCTGGGAGCTGAGGGTATGGATAGGACCACGTGTGTCCTCATAAGTCACTTCAGCTGTGTCCAACTCTTCCATGGACTGCAGCCCACCAGGCTCCTCTGTCCATGGGAAGAATACTGGAATGGGTTGCCCTGCCCTCCTCCAGGGGATCTTCCTGACCCAGGGACTGAACCTGTACCTCTTGCGTCTCCTGCATTGGCAGGTGGGTTCTTTACCACTCGTGCCATCTGGGAAGCCCCAGATAGGGTCACACACTTCTATAATTAATAGATCTTTTAAAACTAACAACAGTGAAAACTTTAGCCTTTAGACCAACACATAATGGGGAAACATCACACAACTGAACCAATACGTACTGTTCTCTTTTTTAAAATTGGGGTGTATTTGCTTTACAATGATGTTGTGTTGGTTTCTGCTGTTTGACAAAATGAATCAGCTATCAGTCAGTTTAGTCGCTCAGTCGTGTCCAACTCTTTGTGACCCCATGGACTGCAGCACACCCGGATTCCCTGTCCATCACCAACTCCCAGAGCTTGCTCAAACTCATGCTCACTCCACTGAGTGGGTGATGCCCTCCAACCATCTCATCCTCTATCATCCCTTTCTCCTCCTGGCCTCAATCTTTCCCAGCATCAGGGTCTTTTCCAATGAGTCAGTTCTTCGCATCAGGTGGCCAAAGTATTGGAGCTTCAGGTGCGGCATCAGTCCTTCCAGTGAATCAGCTATATGCATACATTCCCTTCCTGTGGCCTTGCCACAGCCTCTCCCCATTCCCGCCCCATCCAGGTCACCACAGAGCACTCAGATGAGCTCCTTGTGCTATGTAGCAGGTTCCCACCAGCTATCTGTTTTATATATGACAGTGCACATTTGTCAACCTCCCAATTCACCCCCTCCCCCGTGTCCATGTATCTCTTCTCCATGTCTGTGTCCCTATTCCTGCCCTGGAACTAGATCTATCTGTACCACTTCTCTAGATTCCACATATATGCATTAATATACAAAACTTGTTTCTCTCTTGGGGACCTAATTATGCTTAAAAGATTCTGCACAGTAATACGCACAGTTCAGATAGAAGATATATATATACAAAAATATACTATACATAAATATACAAACACTTATGTAAAACATACATGAGTATACATGTATATGTATGAAATGCACAAATGTATACATATTCCCTTCATTACATATACATGTACAAAAGTATACAGCCCCATATACATACAGAAGTGCATATGTATATGTGATGTGAGGGAAAGGAGTCTAAGTGGCATATTTTTCTTTTCAATTATATGATTAAGACCTCTTTTTTCTTGAAAAATATGCTCAGAAACAATAAAATATTTTGATTAATCATTAATTAAAAATACATTTTTATAAACATAACTCTTATGGGTCATTGAAAAATACATAAAAATTTGAATCTTGACAAGAGCTAAGGAATTAGATAATTTAAGTTAAAAAATGTAATTGAAGTTTCAGAAACATATACCTCTTGAGCTTTGGGTAACACTGTTATCTATGGATGCAGAAATGTTAAGTTCAAAACCCTGATAAGGTTAAAAAAAAAAACAAAACTATCAAATGTTCAGGGCCAGGTCAGGACAGCATGAAAGCACTTAAAATAACTATTCTGAACACTTGGGTTCATTTAAGGTTGGGATTCAGTACTATGTGTTCAGTGAAATATCAAAACAGCCAGAGAAAAAAGGTCAGTTGATTAGGTGGCTTGATAATAGAGGCAAGTTTGTTATTTTTTAAGGTTTATTATGCTAAGCATTATTGAGATGTTTGTAGAAAAATTACATTTCAGAGAAGAATTGGTTTAAAGTAGATTAGTAGAATTCTAATAAAGAAACACATATAAAACTTCAACTTGGACCAATAAAAGAAAAAAGCAAGAGGCAATTTTAGTCCCCACAAAGTTCTTCTACATCAGACATATCCCAACAAATATCACTTTAAAGGAGGGAGGCATCTATAAAGGAAGAAACTGTACCTCAGAACCAGATTGTATAACCCCATTAAAAAGAGATAAAGACAGTATCTCAGACAAGTCAACATTCAAAGTACAAACCACATTTGTACTAGCATTCTCAAAATATACTAGCATTCTCAAAAACCAATGTTACTCTTCAAAGAGAAAAAAATAAAACTCACTATCTGTTTTATCCTAGATATTTTAAACAAATATTTGTTGCATAGAAAGTTCAAGGAAACATTTTACTAATTTCTAAATTAATGATCTGTCCTGCATTTGTGCTTTTATGGGTCTTTTTTAAAAAATAACATATGTACATGATAATTCTATCAGTTCAAAACAGTGTAATGAAAAAAGAAATTTTCTCTTCTAACTCTGGTCCCCAGTTCCTTATCCTAAAGATAACTGCTCACCTCAAGTCCATGCCTGGGCATTTATGAGCATATTTATTAACACACAATGACCAAACACACACACACACACACACACTTTTGGTGATTTTGTCCTTGTTTTGTTTTTATGTGAAAGGTATATTTCTTTGTACCTTGCTTTTCTCACTTATGTCTTCAAAGTCATTCTTAATTACTGCATATGGCTACCCATTAAACAAAATATTGGGTTGGCCAAAAAGTTTGCTTGGGTTTCTCTAGAACATCTTACAGAAAAACCCAAATGGACTTTTTGGCCAACTCAATATTATAACTTATTTAGTTAGTCCTTATTAATGGACATTTAATCATCTCCCCTCTTGCTTCTGAATGCTACCTTTAAACTAATATTCTTATGCATATGTATTTATCCATGTCAGAATAAATATATACAATAAATTTCAAATAAGGAAATTGCTATGTCAATAGGCACATGCATTTAAAATCCTGATAGATGATGCCAAACTGACTTTCCATGGAGATTTTATCAATTTATATCTGTACCTTTAAAACCCACCTACAGTACAGTCTCTCTCTGTGGGAAATCTCTAGAATCTTTGTACACCAGAAGCTGGCAGGAAGAGCCAAGATAGAATCATCTTTGTTCAGGTGTTATATGTACTCACATGAAACATAAAGAAGTGAAGGACGTAAAATCTAGCACACTATAGACTTTTATAATAGAAAAAAAGAACATAATACAAAAGAAACTTTAAAAAGTCAGGTAAGAGGAAAAATAATCCACAAACATATATTTAAGTGTGTTTCTGTTCATTATTTGAGGTGATGCTCTGAAATGCCTGTGAACTAAGCTAGGCAGGTTTTATCAAGCCCATTTCCCATAGAAGAAAACTGAGTCTAGAATAGGTTATGAGAGGAATCACTGGCAGAGGAACCCAGGGCATCCTATTCTTTAATGCATGTGCTTTCTGCTCCTGACTAAAAGAGAAAGGAGAATGAATGGCAATTTTCTATGTTGATTCACTTTGTTTTTTTTTTTGTTTTTTTATTTATTTATTTATTTATTTATTTATTATTTTTTTTTTTTACATGTATTCCCCATCCCGGTCCCCGCTCCCACCTCCCTCTCCATCCAATCCCTCTGGGTCTTCCCAGTGCACCAGGCACCAAAGTGTTGATTCACTTTGAAAAGACATATGATAACTTGAATCACAGAAGCTGGACTGGATAGGTCCAAGCTACAGGATGGATAGACAGAGATGTATTTATTAGTGTGATTTAAACCAGTTTGACTGTCTCAAGGTCAACCTGAATACAGCCTGCCTCCAATAGGATTTCCTAGAAGTGTCTGAAGTTGGGTTTAATCACTTAGATTCTCTAGAGAGGAGCAGAACAGAATGTTCAAGGCTTATCCTTCTCCTGAGTTAAAATGTTCAAATTTAATTTTATACTTCTTGATTTAATCTTGTAATGGCCCAGCTGCTTCCTTCTGCCCTCTGAAAAAAGTTTTGAAAAAATAGCTCTGTTATAAAACAAAGAAATGTCTAATACCTAGGAGATTTTGTACTAGTCTTGATGGTAGGATATAAAAGAAATATTACAGCCCGTTTAATTCAACACTTCCATTTTACAAATGAGAAAAAAGCCCCAGAGAGTGACTTGTTTGAAAATACAATAAAGAACACAAACAAAACCCAAAGGTAGTTGAAGGAAAGAAACATAAAGATCAAACCTGAAATAAATGAAATAGAGACTAGAAAACAAGAGAAAAGATCAATAAAACTAAAAACTGGTTCTTGGGAGAAACCTTTAGCCAGACTCATCAAGAAAAAAAGGAGAGGGCTCAAATCAATAAAATTAAAAATGAAAAAGAAGTCACAACTGACACGACAAACACAAAGGAGCATAAAAGTCTACTACAGGCAATTATATGCCAATAAAATGGGCAACTTGGAAGAAAAGGATAAATTCTTAGAAAGGTACAATCTCCCAAGACTGAACCAGTAAGAAATAGAAAATATGAAAGACCAATTACATGTCCTGAAATTGAATCTGTGACTAAAATAATTTCAACAAACAAAAAGTCCACAACCAGATGGCTTCACAGGGAAATTCTACCAAACATTCAGAGAAGAGATGACACCTATCCTTCTGAAACTATCCCAAAATATTACAGAGGAAGAAACACTTCTGAACTCATTCTATGAGGCCACCATCACCCTGATATCTAAATCAGACGAAGATATCACAAAAAATTAAATTATAGGCCAATATCTCTAATGAATATAGATGCAAAATTCTCAACAAAATACCAGCAAACCAACTCCAACAATATATTAAAAGGCTTACATAGCATGATCAAGTGGGATTTATCCAAGGAATGAAAAGATTTTTCAAGATCTGCCTGCAAATCAAACAACATGATATACCCCATTTACAAATTAAAGAATAAAAACCATATGATTATCTCAATAGATGTAGAAAAAGCTTTTGATAAAATTCAGCATTCGCTTATGAGCTAAAAAATAAAAATAAAAAAACTCTCCAAAAAGTGGGCATAAAGGGAACATACTTCAATATAATAAAGGTCATATATGACAAACCCAAAGGTAATATCATACTCAATGGTGAAAACCTGAAAATATTTCCCCTATCAGGAACAAGACAAGCATGCCCATGCTTTCCACTTACACCTAATAATACAGTTTTGAAAGTCACGTCACAGCAATCAGAAAAGAAAAAGAAAGAAAAAGAATCCAAATTGGAAAAGAAGAAATAAAACTGTCAATGTTTACATATGACATGATACTATACACAGAAAATCCTAAAGATGTCACCAAAAAAACTATGAACTTAGTAAAGTTATAGGATAAAAATCAACACAGAGAAAAATCTCTTGCATCTCTATACATTAACAACAAAATATCAGAAAGAGAAATTAGGGAAATAATCCCACTTACCATCATGTCAAAAAGAATAAAATGCCCAGGAATAAACTTACCTGAAAAGGCAAAAAAACCTGTACTCTGAAAACTATGACACTGATGAAAGAAATCAAAGACAACACAAATAGATGGAAAGATATATCATGTTTTTGGATTGTAAGTATCAATACTGTTAAAAAAAAAATCCCACACTAATCAAGGCAATCTACAGATTCAGTGCAATCCCTATCAAATTATCAACAGTATTTTTTCACAGAACTAGAACAAACATTTTTTTTTAATTTGCATGGAAACATATAAAGCCCCAAATAGCCAAAACTGTCTTGAGAGGAACAGAGCTGGAGGAATCATGCTCCCTGAATTCAGGTTATACTACAAAGCGGCAATAATCAAAACAGTATGGCACTGGCACAAAAATAGACATGGACATCAATGGAACAGGATAGAAAGTTCGGAAATATAACCATGCACTTATGGTCAAGTAATCTACAACAAGAATACACAATATAGAAAAGAGAATCTCTTCAATAAGTGTTACTAGGAAAACTGGACAGCTACACATAAAAGAATGAAATTAGAACATTCCCTAACACCATGTACAAAAATAAACTCAAAACAGATTATTGACCTAAAAGACAGGATAGTATAAAACTCCTAGACGAAAATATAGACAGAACTCTCTTTGACATGAGTTGCAGCAAAATTTTCTTGGATCTGTATCTTAGAGTAATGGAAATAAAAACCAAAATAAACAAATGGGACCTATTTAAACTTAAAATATTTTACACATCAAAGGAAACTATAAACAAATGAAAAAAACAACCTACCGGCTGGGAGAAAATATTTACAAATGATGCTACAAATAAGGAATTAATTTCCAAAATAGACAAAGAGCTCATACAGCTTAATACAAAAAACAAAAAACCCTGACAACCAAATAAAAAATGGGTAGAAGACCTAAATAGACATTTCTCCAAAGAAGATATATAAATGGCCAACAGGCATATGAAAAAATGCTCAAGATCACTAATTATTAGAGAAATGCAAATCAAAACTACAATGAGGTATCACCTCACACCAGTCAGAATGGCCATCATCAAACACTCTACAAATAATAGATGCTGGAGGGTGTGTGGAGAAATGGGAGTCTTCTTACATTGCTGTTGGAAATGCAAATTGGTGCAGGCAGTATGAAGAACAATATAGAAGTCCCTAAAAGCTGAAAATAGAGTTACCATGTGATCCTGCAACCTCAATCCTGGGCATATGTCCAAAGAAAACTCTAATTCAAAAAGACAAATGCAACAAAATATTCACAGCAGCTCTGTTTATGATAGCCAAGGCATGATAACTAAATGTCCATCAACAGATGAATGGATAAAGAAGATGTGATATTATATGCATATATATACACACACACACACACACACACACACATATATAATGAAATGTGTGTGTATATATACATCTCATAATGGAACACTGCTACTGCTGCTGCTAAGTCGCTTCAGTCATGTCCAACTCTGTGCTACGCCATAGACAGCAGCCCACTAGGCTCCTCTGTCCCTGGGATTCTCCAGGCAAGAATACTGGAGTGGGTTGCCATTTCCTTCTCCAATGCAAGAAAGTGAAAAGTGAAAGTGAAGTCGCTCAGTCGTACTCAACTCTTAGCGACCCCATGGACTGCAGCCTACCAGGCTCCTCCGTCCATGGGATTCTCCAGGCAAGAACACTGGAGTGGGTTGCCATTTCCTTCTCCAATGCATGAAAGTCAAAAGTGAAAGGGAAGTTGCTCAGTCATGTCCGACTCGCAGTGACCCCATGGACTGCAGCCTACCAGGCTCCTCCGTCCATGGGATTTTCCAGGCAAGAGTACTGGAGTGGGGTGCCATTGCCTTCTCCGTAATGGAATACTAGTCAGCCATAAAAAAAGAATGAAATAATGCCATTTGCAGCAACATGGATAGAGATTACCCATGAAGTAAGTGAAGCTAAGCTAAGTAAATCAGACAGAGAGAGAAAGATACCATATGATCTCACTTACATGTGGAATCTAAAAAAATGATACAAATGAACTTATTTACAAAACAGAAATAGACTCAGAGACATAGAAAGCAAACTTATGGTTACCAAAGCTGTGGGGGAGATAAATGAGAAGTTTGGGATTAACATAAACATACCATTATATATAAAATAAATAATAAAGATTTTATTTTATACCACAGGGAACTATATTCAATATCTTGTGATAACCTATAATAGAGAAGAATCAGGAGGCAGACAGAGATATATAACTGAATCATTTTTCTGTTAGTTCTGAAACTAACACAACATTAAATTAACTATAATTAATTTAATTAACTATAATGTAAATTAACTATACTTCAATTTTTAAAAATGGTTTAAAACAGTATAATAAAAGTAATGCATTCAGTAAAGTAAATTTTCAACATGAAATCAGAGCTCATTAATGGACTTACCCCATATGCATATTGTACAGAAAAGAGAATAAGTATGAGTGACCTACAAGAAAATAAAAATGCAGATTAATTTCAACTGTCGGTTTTCATGCAAAACAAACTAAAAAGCCAAAGGACATAGGAATTAACTCCAGAAAGCTTTTTATTTTAGTTTCTAATAGGTTACTATCACCAGTTGATGGACATCAGTGACCAGATAAATGTTACCCTCTCTCCAGATAGCATCACCACATTTCCTCAGTCAAGAAGTACTCACACCCTTTAATGTGGCCCTTACTGTGCTGGGTACCATAGGGACACTGGGAAGGTGAGACCTGGATGGATGGATAAAGGGAGATGACTCTCAGAATAAAAACTAGAGGAAAGCAGGAAGTGAGCAGCTTTGCCCAGGAACTACTGCAAAGATTAAGGTATCCTGAATGCTGTTAAGTGGGAACGACCAGAAGGAGGGAGAACGGAAGAAACCTAACTGGGCTGAGGAGATGATTTGGGAAACAGTATGGAAAAAGCCTCCTTCCCATCACCCTCTCTTCCTTCATAGCCCATCAATACATGCTCATTAGCTTCAAAATTTTCCATATTTTTCACTATTTAACATTTCCCTGTCATAACTCCCAATATTTTGTAGTCACTTTGAACAATCTCATACTATTAATAGTTTGCTACTGCTGCTGTAGCACATGACCACAAACTTGGTGACATAAAACAAAAATTTATTTTCTTATCATTCTAGAGGCCAGAAGTCTGAAATAGGTCTCACTGGCAAAAAAAAAAAATTAAGATGTTGGCAGGGCTGTGTTTCTTCTGAAGGCTCCAAGGGACACTCGGTTTCCTTGTTTTTTCTGGATTCCAAAGGCTGCCTGCATTCCTTGGCCTGTGGTCCCTTCCACCTTCAAAGCCAGCAGTGACCAGTCAAGCCTCTCTCCCGCTACACCCCTCTGACCGCTGCTTGCATCATCACATCTCCTTCTCGACTCTCAATCTTCTGCTTCCCTCCTTCACTTCCAGGGTTTTAGTACCTCAATTGTGCCCGAATCTTTGCGACCCCATGGGCTGTAGCCTGCCAGGCTCTTCTGTCCATGGGATTCTCCAGGCAAGAATATTGGAGTGGGTTGCCATTTCCTTCTCCAGGGGATTTTCCCGACCCAGGGATAGAACTCAGGTCTCCTGCATTGCAGGCGGATTCTTTACTGCCTAAGCCACCAGGGCAGCCAAAAGGGGACACCGCGGCTGAGTGGGCTGGGGGACCCTTGTGATTATACTGGGTCCCTCAGATAATCCAGGATAACTTCCCCTTGCACGGTGAGCTGATTAGCAACCTTAATTTCATCTATAACCATAATTCTCCCGCGCCCCATAACAGAACACATTCAGAGGTTCAGTGGATTAGGGTGTGAACAGCTTTGGGGGGGGTCATCATTCTGCCTACCACACTCATGCAGTGCATTGTCCTAACTGCTATAACTGCTAGTTATAGGGACCCTGCAGCTCTGGACACGAGAAGGTTTTTGCTATTCAAACCCAGTGAATAGGAGAGCAAGAATCTGTGGCCTTGTACATTGTCCCACTGGGTGACTGTGTGGCTGCAATTCTAGAAGAGTAGAGAGAATTGCTGCTTAATAATAGATGTGCTGTTTAATAGGACGGCAGCAGGTGAAATTTATAGATTTCTGGAATACTTTGGTTTTTTGACACTCAGATAATTTATACCTATAAAACCAACACTGGGGAGAAATCACTAAATAAAAGCCAGTGATCACACTTGAGGACACTCACCAGGAATCTGTGGCCAAGAGCTTGTTGCACCTGAAAGAACGCCTTACCAATGCCATGTGCACAAATTACTTCATATTCAAGTCTTGGTACTCAACAAAAACTCTGTCACTCTTTTCTCTTCCAGAAGACTCTCATCTATAAGTGAGGTTCTATGTCCTGGGTTTAAAGTCTGTATATGACAAATATAAAATATCTTTTAAAACACAGTATGCATTACAACATCGAAAATAATTGCTTTCATTATTCAGTTAGTGATGGAAATATTTTCTAAAGGGGAACTTCCACAGTGTTTTGACATAACACTGTCCTTAGTGATGAGTAAACTGAATATATATCAATTTTTAATTCTTGGAAATAAAAATACCAAATCCTTTCATTCATAAATACATTTTTCAGAAATGAAAATATACATGTACATAAAACTTTTATAAAAATTATGTTTCATTTTGTTATTTAATCTTTTCTCTTAAAAATTCAAGCTAAAATTCACTCAAGTGCTTTTATTTTTTGAAACTAAAAAGGAATCCCCTAGTATAGAAATGAACATTTTTCCTACAAACAGCAAAGATACACAAACATGTTTTATGTAAAATGGTACAACATTTTGGCAGGTCATCAAAAAGTTAAACACAAGAGTTACCATATGACATAGCAATTTCATTCCTAACTAATTCCTAATTTTGTCCAAATTGACAAAATGTGTTCATATATAAACTTGTACATGAATATTTACAGCAGAATTATTTGTAATAGCCAAAAATGGGAATGACTCATTTCCATTGATGAATAATAAGCAAAACGTGCTACATCTATACAGTGAAACACTTGTTGTTGTTTTTAGTCACTAGGTCATGTCCAACTCTTTTGAGACCCCATGCACTGTAGCTCAGCAGGCTCCCCTGTCCATGGGAATTCCCAAGCAAGGGTACTGGAGTGGCAGTTGTTCCCTTCTGCAGGGGATCTTCCCAACAAAGGGATTGAACCCATGACTCCTGCATGCAAGTGGATTCTCTACCACTGAGCCACCAGGGAAGTCCCACAGTGGAATATCTGACCATAAAAAAAGAAGGAAGTACCAACCAGTGCTGCAACATAGAGGAACCTTGAAAATGTGATGGCGAGGGAAAGAAATCACGTACTGTATAATTCCATGTGTATGAAATGTCAGAATAGGCATATCCATAGAGACAGAAAATATTAATAGATTAGTAATTATCAAAGGTTGGAGGAGGTATGGGGTTTTCTGGAGGGCAATGTAAGTGTTATGGGTTTAGATAGGGTAATGGTTGCACAATATTATAAGTACACTAAAAACCACTGAATTATAAACTTTAAAAGAGTGAAAATGTTGTGTTTTATTTTTGAAACTTATCTCAATTTTAAAAAAGAAAAAATATCTTGACTCCAAGTACCATATACTATTAGAAAAGCTCTCTTTGGCTGAAAGAATTTGAAATGTCTCATCTTTAAAACTTTGGCTTCTCTAAAGACCCGTACCTGTCAGAATTGAGTACAGAGAAGGAAATGGGAGTGTAGAATGTTACAACTTATTTTTAAATTTCTGGATAAAATCTAGATAAACTCAATCAATGTTGTATTTATGACAGACTAGTTTTCCAAGTAAGCATCAGAATGATGTTCCATGATAATTTCAAAACCAAGTAGAAACAGAATCACTTTGAGTATCTAGATCTTTTCCCATTCCTAAATCCATCACTGAAGTAGTTTTCTATTTGCCTTCTAGAAGCATGTCTCAATAAAACAAATTACTGTTTTAAGAGGAATACATAAATTGGCTTGAAACAAACTGTATATGATATTTCAGACAAATAGGAAACAGTCAAAAATTAAAGAACACCAGAGGTATTTGCTTTTTAATCTCAAAATAGATACATCATGCAATTAGTCTGCACACATAATGTGATAAAGTGTATCCCTCCCCCCATTTCTATCCTAGTGCAATATGATTTTATACTTGAAAATCATATTAATCACTCCACTATACTTCTCTGCAACAAAAATATGTATATAAATTCAATATTTTCATTTATGATCATAAATTTCTGCATCTTAAAAAATGTTTTTCTTCTGGGTTGACATTATTATGGTTATTAGTAGCATATAATTCATCCAAAAAAATAAGTATGTCTTGATAAACAATTATGGTTGTTGTTTAGTCGCTAAGTAAATGAACTGCCAAAGGTAAAACAGTTTTGTTGACAGTTTTACCTGGAGCAAGCCTCAGATGACTATGAGCTCATCTTGTGCATCTGTCTAGCCTGAAAACAAAGCCACAGAGGAGTCACAGAGACTTTAGAACCACTCTCCTGGCTGGAGCGCAGCTCCAAGGTCACAGCTAAGCAGAGGCCCATCTGGCCGTCAGCTGGACACCGTGAACAGTGGTGTGTGCCGGGCCCTACAGTTCCCCAAAGGTTGTCTACAACAATCCACAGCAATCTACAAATATTTCCTTTGCTGCAACCACCTGTGTTAAGAGCACAAAACTTTTTGTCTCAACCATGCTTTTGATGACACCGAATAAAATTTCTCATAAATAAAAGGCTGTCATCACATGGGAGAGGTCAAGGTAGTGTTTCTATTGAAGTTTGTTTTAAAAAAAGAAGAAGGTATAAACAATTCGAGTGCTATGCCACTAAAACATATGCAAACAACAGCTTTGGGAGACTGTCTACCTAGGAAACTTTTGCAAAAGTTCTGTACCTTTCAAACGGTATGCTTTATTCTGCCAACTGTTATTCTCAAGCAGGGAGTGTTGAGTGCTATGGAGGGCTATATCGGAGCCCCCTGCCCCAGGCCCCATCTTTGGCTCTTAACTGCGGGGATAATCAGGTTTCCATCACCTGATTCCATCTTCTAAGCACATGGAAAGGTTAAGAATAACCACCTGACCCAACCCAGAGCTTGACTTAGTGACACAGAACTCTGAGCCGGAGGATGGTACAAAAACATTGGCTGAACCAGTCCTCTTGGAGAGTTGAAATGAGGACACCGAAAGAAGAAAGGGAGATGAGGGAAGAAGGATACGTCCTGTACATCCTCAAGTACAGCTGGGTGTTAGAAAACTGCGACAAGTCAAGGTCAAGTGCAAGTCTGAGTTTAGAAGAGACAGATAAACTGCATAATCAGACAAAGTTGTTTCCAAGAAAATGCAAAAACAAAGACAGACAGATAGTCTCAAGAAAGGAGAAAAAACCAGCTCATTCCTGAGAGCCCTCCCCTACCCAGTTCTTGATGTAGTGTCTTGAGGTCAACTCCCTTTTCTTGAGCAAACCCGGGCAGCGAGTCTGATAAAAAGCACCGCCCTCACCGCAGCTGGTCCCAAGGCTGCGTGCAACACACCTCGGGAGGCCATCTGGGGCCACCCACCTCCAACGGGGAAGCTAAACATACGTGCCCTGAGCCTTTGACATTCATCTTGTTCACTAACCCAGTCCATAATAGGCTCTTGCCCAGCAGTATATTTCTATCATGTATTTCTAGCATGTATATTTCTATCATGTATTTCTAGCATGTATATTTCTATCATGTAATTTCTAGCATGTATATTCAGCAGATATCATGGTGTTCTCTTTCTCCAATTCTGGGATTTTTTTCCCCTCCGCACATCTTTATGAAAACGCCTAGACTCCCGTTTCCCTGGGACTCCTTAAGAGTCTCTGTCCAATGTTTTCCAAAGGCCTGGGAAAAGGATCTGAGAGCCTCCAAGCCATTCTCAGTACCCTGGGGAATTTGTTTTCACTGCAACCTCATCTTGAATACAAATACAGCCCCGCTGGAGTTCTCATCCACGGGGGCTAGGCGTGGTGGTTGGTGGGGGGAGTGGGGGCGGGGCAGGGAGGGGAGGGTCAAGACTGGAGGACCAGATAAACAGGAGACTGAGGACTGGAATCTTCTAGCCACAAAAGGTAGCAGAGATACAATGTCTTTTCTTTTCCCAAGGAACATTAAGTCTTCGAGCTCTTTCGAACAATATTTGCCCTTTCAGGGAAATCATTTTCTATTAATTCAATAACTACATGTTCTTTCCTTTGACTTTCTGACACTGAGCTATCTGAAGACTCTCTCTCCAAGGTTAAATTTTTTGGATGGTCTGAACATGTATTTCTATATACTTTTATCTTTCCAAAGTAGAATTCCTAAAGGCTAAGCTTTTGTAGAGAAATAATCAAGGGTCAAGGGGCCGGGCTGGGGGGGTCGGGGGAGAGGCGGGGTGGTTAGAAAAATGCTCCCAGAAAAAGAATGGCATGCCTGGGGCTGGATATCTCCTCTGAGGCTTATACCTTTCCTGTTACGGGATCACCTGAACTTTCCCCAACATCCAGGTTGATTACTTTCTAAAATCCCATATCTTTGGGTTGCCTCTAGCTGCAGACTTTCAAAGCCTCCAGGTTGATGAGAGCTTTTTAGTGAAAACAGTCAATCCCATCAACCATCACAAAGGTTTTTAAAGCAAGTCACGAACACATGTGGTCCATGGACTACCGGAATGTGGCTGGAGCATCATGTTCCCTGAGAAGGAACTGGGGGAAAAAACTTGAGAACGACTCAAGTAAATTCTTGAGAATATCTCTACATTCCAACAGGACCAGAAGGTTGTTGGATTGTGGTCAAGCCTGCCCCCACCTTGTCTTCCTTCTAGATTCAACTGAATTGTTTGAGAGTCTTTGCACAATCCTCAGGTGACCCTGGAGCTGAGTTTGCTAGTCCAGGGCCAAATGGCTCATATCTCAGCTAATCTACCATTCTGCCAGTGCAGGCTTTTATTAACATTTTTCTCCATGAGGTCTCCTCCCAGTATCAACAGAACATTTGACAACAATCATAAGAATGTCATAGGTGGGAAACACACAGAGGTGACACTGTTCCACAAACATACAACTGATTGTCAAAACTGGATGTGCCCTTTACTTCCAAGTCAGGAATGACATTCTTGACTCAGAATGCTGGAGGTCTCTTGCCAAAAACGCTACACCCCCAGGTTTCTCTTGGTCTGTGATTTTCCCCTGCAGGGCAGGGATGGAGCAACTCTGGATTC